GAAATTTCCACTGTGTTTTTTCCCCCTCAACCAGAGAAATAAAATAGCAGTTTTCAGGCCCTTTAATTTTCCACTGTACAATTTGTACCTAAAGCATTTTCTCTGCTCCTCTTCCAAGCTTGTCTTGTCTGTGAAGGGCTGGAGAAGATGTCCAGAGAAAGGGGACCTTGAGACGCTCCCCAGGACAAAGTTGAAGGGATCCTGTCTAAAGGCAGCCGCATCATTGACCAGGTCACAAACGTTCAATGCTACACAAAGTTCATCCAGGTCCAAGAAGTGGGGGGAATAAGGGGCGGGGGGCTTTCAGGTTTCTAGGAAGAGGCACCCATGGAAGCTGTTCTGCTCACCAACCACACAGATTACTGATCAATTGGGAATCAATGTTAGGTTTCAGAATGCCTCCTAATTGCAAATAGGATCCCTCTGCAAATTCCATCTTAAGGAGATGAGAAAAGATCTGATGGATCAGACGAAGGTCAGTCTAAGATTCAGAATGAAAACTCTGGTTCTCCCACAAGCAGAAAGCAGAGACTTATGGCTTTGCCCAACATGGAACAGGCATTTCCCCACAATTTCACTTTCCTCCATCATCCCACACAATATTGGACACTCAGCCATCTCACAGTCTAGGAATCCCCAATTCTGGTATCCCACATTAATCTGAGAAAATTTTTCCATGTTTCACAGCCCCAATCAAAAAGTAGTAAGGTGAGGCTGGAACTCAAGAGTCTCCTGGGGATTGGCCCAAAGTCCTCCAGGAAGATTTCATGCCTAAGGGAGGATTAGAACTCAGAGCCTCCTGGACCTTGGCCCAAACTCAGCCAGCTGGCTTTCATGTCTAAGGCAGAACTAGAACTCACACTCTGCAGATGATTGTCTCAAAGTCGCCCATTTGGCTTTTATTTTAAAGCTGGTTTTAAAAGTTTAGTGAGTGGAGCAAAGTCCCTCAGCTGGCTTCGGTTCTCACTCCTTGCCCCCCTTCCCCCCCCCCCCCAGTACAAAAGGCTCCTCCTGCAGCTGTCACTCAAGCCCCTATCCTGCCCCACTCCCTCGCACCCAGGTCGGGCAGGGCCACACCCGGCAGACGGTCTGCCCGAGCCGCCCCCTCCTGCTGCCTCCTCGGGGCTGAACCCTTCTCGGGGCCGGTCGGAGCGAGCAGAGCGGGCGGGCGAGTGACCAGCCGGGCTTCCACTCAGCCGGGCTGTGGGGAACGGTGGGCAGGGGCTTCCTGGGCTCCCTCCCCCCCCCCCAGGCCACGTCGGGGCTCCCTCTTCAGAAGCTGCGGGCGCCCTGGCTGAGGAGAGCGGCTGGAGGAGCCGCGGGGGGAGGGCAGGCGGGCGGCCATCGGGGATCTCAGCCCACATGGGACCTCGAGGCGGCTGGAGGGGGGAGCCTATCTGCCCCTCCCCCGCAAACTCTGCAAGGCAGGAGGGGCTGCGCAGGAGGGCGGAGGGGCGGATGGGCCGCCGCCGGTTTCTCTCCCTCGGAGGTTGCAGCCGTCAGGCAGGGAGGAAATGGCGCCCGGTTCCCCTCCATGACTGGAGAGCTAAGGAGGAGCAGCAGCAGCTGCAAAGTTGGGGGCTCTTGGAACATGTCTGTGTGTGGGGGGGGGGGGGAAGGGTGGGAGGGAAGTGAAACTCTACTTAGGCCTGGGGGGAGGTGTCAAAATCCCCCCCCTTTTTTTTTACCTGCATCCACTTAAGGGGCGTCTTTTGTCCCTCTCGGCCCCCCCAACCCCCCCCCCCAATTAGTCTCTTCCCCTCTCTTTGTCCGACCCAGCACTCCCACTGCGGCGGTCCTCCTGCCTGGCAGCTGCCTGCCGAGAAGCCCTGGAGGGGCAGCCGAGGGTCACCTTCCCCCCCAGGACTGAAAACCCCCCTTTGTGTCTCTGTCAAGGGCTGCGCTGAGGCCCCTTAGCCCCCAACCCCTCCCCCCCCATACCCGGACCTTCTGTTTGTGGGGAAGTTGCGGGGGGGGTGATGGGGAAGCTCAGCCCATCTTTGCCCCCCAAACTGCAGAGGGCAACATCTGGGCCAGGTGAGGTTTCGTCCACCTTGTGGGAGATACAAGAGGTGGCAGCCCTCCAGATGCAGAGGGGGGGGGGCGCGGAACCCCCCACCACTATTCAGAGGCCGAAGCCCTGATCGGAGGAGGTTGTGGTTTGATGAAGCGGTTAAAAGAAAGGCTGGTTTTCTAGATGTGAAGGGCGGGGGGGGGGGGAAATTGAAAAAAATTGGGGGGGGGCAGTCGATGTGAGGCGGAGCATGGCGAGTCCTCCGCGGGAGGGAGGTCGAAGGGGCGACCGCAGGAGGAGGCTCCCCAAAGAGCTGGGGGGGATTTTGGCAGTGAGGGCGAGGACTTCAGAGGCAGTGGAGGTGTTGTGTGTGGCTGGTGTTCCTTGTTCCGACTTTCCCCGGGTGCAAAGGGACAGGCAAGGGGCGGGTGCCACAGCTGTATGTTTGGGCAAAGCGTCCCTCCGTCCCTCCCTCCCTCCATCCGTGTGTCTCTGAGACTACCTTTGGGGGGGGGGTTCACTGTCAGCTTCCCCAACTCCTCAGCCTCAGCCCCTCAGTGGACAGAAAAGGGCAAGAAAGAGGGTGGGGGGTCCGAGACTCTGGAGGGTGAACCAGATGATGGTCGATGCAGGCAGCGGCTGCCAACCTTTTGGGACCAGGGACCGGTTCCGTGGAGAGAGGTTTTTCCCTGGACCAGAGAGGTGGAGGGGGGTTCGTGGGCTGCCTGCATCCTGCGCGTGGGGCTTGCTAGTTTTGGGGGGCCAGTTTCTGGCGTGCAGGGATGGGGGAGGGTTTTGGGGACCCCTGGATTAAGGGCTGGGACCCAGGGCCGGATTTAGTTTGAAAGAGGCCCTAGGCTATTCCACTTATGAGGCCCTTTCACCAGGGGTGGGATTCAATTTTTTTAACAACAGGTTCTGGGCTTAGTTGGGGGTGTGCCTGGGCAATCATGTGACTGGGTGGGCGTGGCTATCTGGTCACGTGACTGTAGGCATGGGTAGCTCGTCATGTGACCGGGTGGCCATGGCTATGTGCATAGACTTTTTTCAGAGGGCTGAAAAAAGTCATTTCTGACTGGGCCTCGCACTTTTGACCGGTCCTCACACTTATGACCATCCTCACATTTATGCCCATTCAGCTTTCTTAACAACCATGTCACTCATTTCACAACTGCTTCTCTTCACCATGGTGACAAGATAGGGCAAAAACGTAAAATGTGAGGACAGTCGTAAGTTCGAGGACTGGTCAAAAGTGCGAGGACCAGTCAGAAATAACTTTTTCAGCCCTCTGAGTAGTCCATATGCATAAAAGGATACAGCAAAAGAGAGGGATGAAGGAAGGGAAGGGAAATTAGAGTAGGAGTAAGGGTAAGAGAGGGAGGAAGAGAGGAGGAGAAGGAGAAAGGAAGAGGAAGTAGGGAGGAGAAGAAGAGGGGGAGGAAGAGAAAGTAAGAAGGAAAGAAAAGAGAGAGGTGGTAGGTTTGAGGAGAAAGATTGCTGTACAATAAAAAAGATGAAAGGGAAGAAAGCCAACCCCAAACAAATATAAAGATATTAAGATAAAGAATGAATTGTTAAACTTTAAAGAATAAAAGAGAACAAATATGAATAAATAACAATAATTAGAAACACACATACAAACATACAATGTAGTTTCTTTGAACAGAGTATTTGGCTGGTTCACAAATTTAAACAGTGTTTAGTCATTTCAATTAAATTTACAATTTCTATATTTCCTTTTTGCCATATTTATTCCTCATCTATTTTTGTAAAAAACCAATATTACCCTTCATCCTCATCTCTAATCTTAATCAAATTCAATTTTTCCCTTCTATATTATACCCCTTCCCATTGTCATCTATTTTTATATCCATCCTCACATTGGTTAATTATGTAATATTAGTTGTTTAATACAAATTCAACATTTTAATATAAATCAATTAGTTATATAACTATCTTTTTTGTATATTAATCAATATGAACATGAATATTCCAATTATTTCCATGCAATCCAATTTCTTACAAATCAATTAATTATATTTACCAATAATAATAAACCAAATAATTTCCCCCATATATTCCTCCAAACCACAACTTAACCATTTCTGCTTTCAACACAATATACAATTATTAATAGTATCTCAATTATTACAATTCCCTAGTTAAATAGAGCTTTTTTTCTTTTGTGTTTTAAAATCCTGAACTCTCCTCTTTTTCCCTAAATTTCCCATTGTTTGCACCCACCTTTTTTGGTGAGGAAAAAGAAAAGAATTCTGCCTGCCTAATTTTCCAACCTTGCAGCAACAGCAAAGCAGTTTCAGTTTTCGTTTCTCAGCAATGCTGGGGGAAAAAAATCAGCACTCTTTGCAAGGAAGCAGAAAAGCCCTGAGCAAAACAGCTGAGACAAATCAGCTGAGAGCCAGGAGGCCAATTAGCCTCTGCTGAAGCTCCATGGGCCAATAAAATTACAAAAAAAACCACCGAACCCTTTGTTAAATTGCTGGCTCCCCCGCCCCTCGCCCTATTTATTGGCAATAAATAGTGGTGCGGAGGGGCGGGGCAAGCCAGCAATTTAACAAAGGGTTCGGCTGCACCACTGGCTCTAGGGCGGCCCTTTGAAGCCCCGCGGCAAGAATTTGAAGTTATTTTTTCCTCCAGCCATCGGAGGCAGCAATAGATGGGGAGTGGGCGGGGTAAGCGAACAGCCGGCGATCCAACAGAGCAGAGAGCGAGGGTGAGTGAAGGCGGGGAAGCTGCTTTCTCCATCCTCCTCTTGCGTCCGGAGCCGGTGGGGAACCACGTGGCAGCCCACGTGGATCTCAGGCAGCGGAACACAGGCTAGGGAAGGGGTGGGCAATTGTGGCTCTTTTACAACCTGTGGCCTTCAACTCCCAGAATTCCTGAGACAGCTTGGCTGTCTCAGGAATTCTGGGAGTTGAAGGCCACAGGTTGTAAAAGAGCCACAATTGCCTACCCCTGGCTACGGTAGGCTGGCGCCGCGCGGGTGGGAGGCCAGGGGCGGATGAGCCAGCAATTTAACAAAGGGTTCGGCCGAACCCCCTAGAACCCCCAGAATCCCACCACTGTGTAGGCCCCTCTTGATCTTGAGGCCCTAGGCTGAAGCCTAGTTAGCCTATAGTAAAATCCGGCCCTGGCTGGGTATGGCTGATCTCGGGAAGAGAAGGACGGCAGGGGATGGGATGACCTCGTGCAATATTTGAGAGACTGTCCCAGAGAAAGTGGGGGGGGGATTCATTCTCTGAAGCCCCTGAAGGCAGGAAAAAGAAGCAGCGAATGGAATCCCAGCGAAGAGAGATCCAACCTAGAAGCCAGGAGAGATTCTCTCACAGTGAAAAACTATTGATCAGTGGAACAGTTTGAATCCCAGAAGTTGTGGCTGCTCCATTGATGGAGGTTTTCAAGAAGAGATTGGACAAGCATTTGCCTGAAATCCTTTAGCGTCTCCAGTTTGAGGTTGGTCTTGAAGACCTCCAAGGTTCCTTCCAACTCTGTTGTTTTGTTATTCTGATTCCGTCCAAACATGAATTCAGAGACTGGTCAACAGAATTGCTTATTAGAAACAATCTTAAACACCTTTGAAAATTTATCTGGTATCAAATACCAACAAGTAATCATGCAATAAAAGTTCTCCTTTAGGTTGTGGTTCAGCATACATTTTAATGTAGAGCACATATTTTCCCATTGCTCCAATATTATGACCAAAATTCCTCACCCACTGAATTATGCAATATTTAACATACTCACTGTTAGTGGATTCACCATCTACTTCTCTCTTTTTAGCTGCTTCTTATTTTATTCTTCCTGTTATTTATTGTTATTTATTGTTAGTGTCATTCTGGAATCTGGCAGAATCTAAATGGAATAAACAAAAAAAAATGATGATTTTCTTGACTTAAGTACTAGATGCTCAAATATTAAAAAGTTAATCTTTCAAATAAGAAGTGTTTGGGTGGGAATAAATAGACCAACCAATTGATTGAGAAATAGACAAATAGACATAGTCAAGGCTGCTGGGGGAAAAATGAAAGAATAGATTTGGAATGGAGTGTAATAATCATCCAGAGGAGCCCATCCATGAGAAGCCTCTGTCTCTCCCCTTCTTAGGAATCTCCAGGTGTGAAGAACCCACAACCTTCACAGGGGGACCATTCCATGCTGGCACAACTCTTCATAACCTGAAGAAAATGGACCCAGTGATCTTTTCTCTTGGAGAAACCTGGAGAACTGGAGTCATCCCAGATTATTCAAGAAGGATTGAGAGATTATTGCTAGATCAGCCATCTAAGGAAGTCTTACCACAGATATTCCAATCAGGTAACTCTCTTAGGATGGATGGATATTCTATATAAAATAATAAATGTAATAAACATTTATTGGAAGAATGCCAATATTCTTATTAGCAAGTGTGGGATGAAAGACAAGGTGCTGTGGTGATTATCAAAATGGCTGAGGAAATGCCCCCAAGGAGGATTCCTCGACCATTTGTCTGAAAATGACCGTCAACTATTCCATTTGGTCCCCCGTTCTACTCTGTGTGTTGGATTCACTGTCATTTGAATTAATGACTTTGATGAATGGAGAGAGGGGATGCATCTCAGAATTTGGGATGGATTTCTAATACCATAGAAGACCGAAGGCTCCATGGAGACCTTGGATTTTGGGGGTGTCCATGTGGATGCTTGAGTCAAGATGGATTAAGATATGGACTTTTTCAGTGTCTGTCTGGAAATGGACTCAAATGAATCTCTCAGGACTGATTGCTCACATTTTGAAATCAGCCTCTCAAGTGGGAAAGGAGCAGGAGAGCAGGAGGGCCAGAGTGTGCAGAGACACACAAGGCCTACATCTCAGGCCAAGCCAGTTATTGTTTACATTGAGGGCAGCAATATAATTTTGCATTGTATTTCCCATTCACGAGACTGTTTCCAAGGTGACAGAAAACTTCTTGGAGAGAAAAGAGGGAGGAGGAAATCCCCAGGGCTTCCAAAATTATAGGGGAAAGGTGTGACACCTGCTACACTTCCTCTGCAGAGCTACAAGTGAGCCTGTACACAAGAACTCCCTTCCAAAGACACAGAACACCCTCCCTCTGGGTATGTGGGGGTTTTGTTTAACCACACAAAGTTCTGATGACTGATTGTGTTCTTGGAGAATGGCCACACTATTGCATCAGCTGTTTTGTGCCGGTGCCCTTGAGCATTAACTTTCAAAGTAAAGTACATTTATTCTGCTCCCTGAAATAACAGACAGCTATCTCAGATCTGTGACATGCTTGGGCATTAACTGCCCCCTGGGATTTCCTCTTTAGCCACGATGCCAACAAATGTCAGATTTCTTTTTCTTCAGCCACAGGTGCCAAGTATTCCCTCTGGGGCCAATTTCAAGGATGGAGGTACCAAACATCTCAGTTCTTCATGACTGATTTAATTCGATTTCTGCCTCTATCATTATGAGCCACGTGGGGATTATTTCCCTTTCATTTCCCTACAGAGAAATGCCCAACAATCTCTGAGTTCATGAACTCATTGAATCAGCCAGGGATCCCCCCTGAGAAGGAGAATGATTATCCTCAAAGTTTCTGCTCTGCTCTTTGGCTGTTTATGACTTCTTTATGCACTGTGATATGTTTTAGAAAAGGAAAATAGACACACAAAATCTTTTTTCTGAGGATAGCTTTGTACATATCGCCCCAACTCCATTTTAGATTCCTTGAAACATCTTAAATTAAATAGATTAAATCACATTCCTGAAAAAATAATACCAGAAGAGTCAGGTATTCTGTTTTTTACCTTTATTATTATTAGATTTTTCTTTGTGTATCATCCTCACACAAAGGAAGCCCACTTTTTGCATCGTGGCCCCATCATGTGCTTCGTGCTCAGAGAATGACGCCGTGTTACATCGCTTGTTTTAAGCCCCTTTAACTCACCTCAGTTCACTCCCTGGCTAAGGGCATCTCACTGCCCCCGGAGCTACGGAATATCCCTAATCTCCGTGCTTTCCGCCGTGCCCTCAAGACCCTGATGTTCCAACAGGCGGGGCTAAACATATGAACATATGAAAGATTTTTTTAAATGTTATCTAATTCTGGGTTTTATTTAATTGACCAAACTAAGTAATAATTTTAATTAGCAATTTTATGATGTTTATATGTCTATATTCTTCTTGGTTGTACACCGCCTTGAGTCCTACGGGAGAAAGGCGGTATAGAAATATAATTAATAATAATAATAATCTCAACCTTGGCAACTTCAAGATGGCTGGACTTCAACTCCCAGAATTCCACAGCCAGCAAAGATTAAGGACTGCGGAACTCTGGGAGTTGAAGTTCACCCATCTTAAAGATGCCAAGACAGAGAAATACTGCTCTACATAGAAGCCAACACTACCAATGTGCTCTGTGTGTGTGTGTGTGTGTGCGCGCGCGCGCGCAGGAAACCCATCAATGTTCTTTCTTGTTATGGAGGTTTGTAGACCGCAATCTTATCTCCTTACAGTTCACCAAACAGACAAGTCTCAGAAGAATTTAAACTAAAACTGTTTTTATTTACAGAAATAAAACAAAGTCTATTAAAAGAACATCAGTAGTCAGTTTCCTTTTGCAGTGTCCGGTCAGCTCTTTCTGCCATCGCTCAGAAGGAGGCGGCTTTAGTGACTTCAGCTTTGCCTCTGACCCCGAACTGCGTTGCCTGCTGGCTAGCAGCTCTTTATATACTCTCTCAGTGGCAGTTAGAAAAGCCCGGGAGATTCAAAGCTAGGAGCTGCACTCTGATTGGCTTATTCAATTATCTAAGCCAAAGGTCATTAATAGGCACAGCAACTGGGAGGGATTTTTTTTCTCTCACATTTCTCAATCCCTTCAGCACATCTAGAGGGAGAAGGTTAAAAAAATGGGGACTTTTCTTGGATGGAATGAAATTTAAGGAGCAAAATGGGTGCATAAGCAGAGGTTTGAGGCAGCTGTTTCAACCCCTCTGAATGACCCTCAAAACTTTTAGACTGCAACAGAAAGTGTGTATTGTGCAATCATGTGCCATCTACTCCCATGTTTCTTAAGTTTAGCCTGCCGGGGAATTCTGGGAGTTGAAGTCCACCCATCTTAAAGTCATCACACTGGTTTACACTGATTCAGCCCTGAAACCGGCTTTCTGGTCTCTCCTAAACTTTCTTTCCTGATGAAAGTTTTTCTACTGATTTTTAAGATGCTTTCAAGCTCCTCCTTGCAGAGTTTCCAGCTTGGTTTCTGCCCAGGACCTTCCCCCTCAGCCTCACAGAGTTCCCATTCAAATAACCCTAAATAAAAAATGGCAGGACTGAAGCAATGTGGGAGTCTCCTCCTTTGCCAGCACATCAATTGTGCAATTGCTCACGGGTCTCACACACACCCAGCCCTGCCAATGCCCAGGGGGCTTAAAAGCTGTAACACTGCAACTGTGTAAGGTTGGGGAGTCTCCGCTCCCCTCCCCCCTCCTCAATTCTGCTGGTTTCCTGGCCAGGGGCTGGAGGGTCTCCTCACTCTGGCAAAACATCCAAGTGTGTCTGGCAACAAACTGAGGCTTTCTGGAACCAACCCAGGATTGTCAGCCTGTTGCCAGGATTGTGTCTGGCTTTGCCCCCTCCAATCTGATCCCCGATGGTCCTGGGGACCTTGGGAGAAGATCCTGGGAGTTTCTCTTGGAAGGGAGCCAGGAGGAAGGGGGGAATGGCTGGGGAGGGGGCAGAGTTTTCTGGCTGGGTGTTGAGTTTCCTCCTTCGGGCTGCTCAGGGGCTGCGGGAGAGGCCTTGGGGGTCCTGGAAATGCCCTCCAAGAAGGCTGAGCTGAAAATGTCAGCTTTTTCTTAGCACCTTCACATTTTTATGGGGGAGTGGGGGAGGGGTTAAGGGGTGAATTTAAGACATTCCTTTGCCCCTTAAGCAGATGAAAAGCTGCAACCTCAGCCACGAATCACCTATTAACCAGTGGAACAGCTTGCCACCAGAAGGTCTGGGTGTCCCATCACTGACGGTTTTGAAGAAGAGGCTGGACAGCCACTTGTCTGAAATGGCATAGGGTCTCCTGCTTGAGCAGGGGGTTGGACTAGAAGACCTCCAAGGTCCCTTCCAGCTTTGTGATTCTGTTATTCTTTGAGAGCACCTGCGCCTTGTTGCCGGTGATGAGATCAGTAGCATCTATCTCTTTCCCGCTCCTCCCCCAAAGCCCTTTCTCCCTCAAATCTAAAGCAGAATAACTGAAACTCGATGGAAGTGGTCCCCACCTATTTTCCATCTATCCGTTTGCCTGTACTATCCATGTGTACGCTGCCTGTATGAACATTGTGGACAGCTTATTTCCTTCTGGAGACTTTGGACCTGGCTCTGTTTGTTATCCAGCACACTGGCTGTATGGAAAATGGCAGCTTACGGGAGGATGAACGGAGCCGGTTTCTATCATTGTTTCACCACCGATGGGATGTACCATCTTCCCCATGGCCAGTTTGCCAACCATCGTGAGAGGCTGGTTGGAGGACTACCCCCGAGCTGGTTGGAACATTGGACTCCACCACTGCCGTGAGAGGACAGTGGAGACTCTCCCGTTTATGGTCAACCTGCCTTGTCTTCCAGGACATTTTGGACTATCATAGTGGAGCCCTTGGCCATACCTTATCACTACCTCAGAGCTTCAGATGTACTTAAGGTCACAGCTTCTTGCACTGCGAGACTCCCCCCTCTCGCAAGCCTGGCCCTCCACGTTATCGAGGGCCTATCTCAATGACGGGTTTTGGAACCCAGAGAGGTGGCATGCAGCGAAGAGGGGGCTGAGGGTTTTTTAATGTAAATTTTTGGTTAAACTTTTAAGGGGTCCTGGGGGGGGAGGGTAGGATTGGAACTAGGGTTGTGGGTTTGGGGCATAACCCACCAAGGGGAGGGTCGGGCCTGGCCAGGATGCGCGGCGGGGGGTAGGGGGGGATCCGGGGGTAATGGGGGGTGTCAAGCTTGTCCAGGATGTGTTTTTACCATCGGTACTGTGAGTGGGAGGGGTAGATATGGCAGGAGCAGGGGGCCATATCATGTTAAAGAGCATACACCCGCTGTCTTCGAGCGGTAGCGTGCTCTGGCCCCAAGGCTCCACTCGTTCTCTAGGTTGCACAGACCCTCAGGGCCCGGGCCTTCGACTGATGTTGTGCAACACCAGGTCTCTGGTAAATAAAGCCCCCCTCATTTGTGATCTTGTTCAGGAGGGGGGAGTGGACCTGGCGGGTATTATGGAGACCTGGTTGGGCTGGGAGGGAGGGGTCCCTCTGATAGAAATGTGCCCACCAGGCTTCCATGCATTC